CCCCGGGGCTGGGGCCGAGCGGGGAGAGGACGCCCCCGCCCCCGCGCCCCCCCGCCCGATGGGGAACCTCCGTCCCAAGGTCAGCCATCTGGACGCGGAGTGGGGAATTGGGTCTGTTGTACCAGGTACAGACCTTGAGAATATACTGACCTAAAATAACTCTGTACCTCATTAAATTGTCCAATAGAATCCCTGTAACTATGCTTTTCACTCCTGCACTGTGCTTTTAGCTATATAAGGACCCCTCTCCCTTGGCTCGGGGCTTGGCCTAACAAAAGCTAAGTCCCCGGGTACGCGCGCCATCAATAAAACCTCTTGCTTTTGCATCCAAAGTTCGTGGTTTCGCCGATTCCTGGTGCAGGTCTCCTTCTACGAAAGTACCTCTTCTGAGGTCTTTCACTATGTGGCAGACTGAGTTGCACAGACCTAGCCCACTGTACCCAGGTGTGCTTCCCACTAAGCGTCTCACCTCACTGGATAGGTACTCTGTTTATTGCAGAACATTTCCTTATACAAATAAGCACATGATCTCCTTTAAGGAACCCTGCAGCATCAGGAGCTGCTGCCAAGCTCTTCATGGAAACCAGAATGGAAGTGATAGATTTTTCTAGCATTTTTCAGTGTCACAGTCAAGGCATCCACAAAACTTCTCCCATTTCCCAAGTTCTGAAAGGCAGGCCAGCTCTTTGGAAGGAATGACACGTATTCCCTCCAAAGTTTCCTGACAGTAAATTTGTGCATGCATGTGCTTGATGACTGATTGATTAGCTCAATATGCACAGGTGTAAAGTAGCAGTAGACACATTTCCCTCTCACGGGAATTCATACTTACCATCGTGATTGCTCTCCACTGATGTCACCACACAGCCTCTCAAGTGAATGGCTCCCAGGGGATCTTCACCCTAGAAGAGAGAGGGGCTGCTGTGTCTCCAGTGTACACAGTGTGGACCTGCCTCATCCTGTTGCTGCAGACATCATTCAAACTCAGTCAGGAACATGTCAGAACGTCTTCCCTCCCCTACAAGCTGCATGAGAAGATGCAAGCCAGTCTGAAGAAGATGCAAGCCACTCTGGAACTCAGATCTGGAGGAAACGGGGGAGGCTGAGATGCTGGGGTTATGACATCCCACTGAAGAACTGCTTGTTCTCTCCTATGACACAGTATGTCAATGTTCACAGGAGTCAGTCAAGGGAACAGCATGTGTAAGCAGGGAAAGGCCTCAATCCTGACAGCTGACATGAACTTCTTTTTACTTTCAAGTCAGATCTTTTTGTTGAGGAAAAAGCCTTTTCTTCAGCCAACAGCCAGAATTGCTGGACCTACAGGGACTGTCCAGTTGTCCTGGAAAGTGAATTATCTATTCTTGCATAGTAAACAATGAACATGGTGTTAGACAAAGTGAGTTGCCACAAAAATATCAAACTGGAGAGTAGTTGGGAAAACATGGTGGACTAAAAGCTGCTTTCTTGTGACCTGGTAAAGGAGAAAATTAGAATAAGAAAAAACAGACATTGCTCTAATAGCAAAGGGGAGGAAGGAGAGCTTTAAAACTTCACAATGGTAGTGATAGACAAAAAGTGTAGAAAAAATACATGAGATACAAGTGGATGAGGTGAAATCCAAGCCTGCCTCAAGGGCTAGAGAGGTGACTCAGCAGCTAAGGGGGCTTTCTGCACTTGTTTAAGGACAAGGTTCTGATCTCAGCACCAATATAGCACATGCCACACACACACCTATACCCCAAACCTGTGGAGAAAGCAGGATTCATAGGACTTGTTAGCTTCCAGCCTACGCAGAAAATGACAAGAAAACTAAACTCCAGTTTCCAGCAGAAAACTCACCTCAAAGAAATAAATCAAAGAGTGGCAGAGGAACATCTGGCATTATCCTCTGGTCTCCACACACATTTACAATGCCCATCTGCGCGCGAGCACACACACACACACACACACACACACACACACACGGAGAAACCTTGTCCAAAAGCACTTTGTTTTCTCCAGTGTAAGCAGTAATGCTCTCAAATGGCTGCTCAATAAGAATATCCCCTAATAGAACCAACAGGTAAGCCAAGCAATGCACAGAAACACAAGAAACAAAGCAGTATAGTCATATTATGGCCTCCAGGAGACCATAATAACCCCTCACTGGCTGAATTCAGGAGATCCTGAAGTCGGTAGGTACAATGTTGGATAAAAGGTTACCAGTGAAATGATTAGTGACCTCAGATAGTTTGCAAACAAGCAGATGAAGTTGATCTAAGACCCGGGGAGGAAAGTCAGCAACTTAGAGGAAACAGCCAGAAAAAAAAAATGGAAAATCGGCAATGTAGATTGAAAAGTGACAAGGAAGAAAATTCAACAAAAAAGATAGATGTTGAGAAACAACAACAAACAGAGATGTTGAAAATGTAAATTCCAACCAACTAAATAAAATATAGAGCACAAAGTACCACCAATGTGTTTGACCAAGCAAAATAAAAAATATCAGGGATGGAGGAAAAGATTGGAGACTATGACATCCAAACATCAATTAATATACATAAATAAGTAAATGAACAAACAGAACACAGTGCCCAAGAACTCCAGGATACAGTCATAAGACCAAACCTAAGACTCCATGGGAAAGGTGGAGCGGTGATAGAAAATGGAGCTAGATAATCTATTTGATAAACTCGTAGCAGAAAGTTGCATAAACCTGAAGAACAGACCTGCCCAGAGAAGAACCTTTCCACAACATATTGTAGTTGCAACAGTATCAAAACAGAGCAGAGAAACAATATTAAAAACTGGAAGGGAAGTGTGCATATATCCGTGGTGGGATGTGGGGTCCTGAGGGAACACTGGAGAGTGATATATACCTGGGCCATATTGTAGTTCCCTTTAATTCTTTTTTTTTTTTTGAGAAAAAAAATTAATTCTTTTAATTTGAGAAAACTCTGTGCTGATCTCCATAATGACTGTACTCCCATCATCCCTGACTAAAGTTCCTCTTTCCTCAACAGCCACTCTGAGAGGAGTGAGGCAGTGTCTCAAAGTAGTTTTGTGATGGCAGGGATGTTTCACATTTTTTAAAAACATTTATCAGCCATTTGTAATTATTCTTTGAAAAGTATCTCTTCATTTCTTTGACTTGTTTGTTGATTGGCAGGGATTTTTTTCATGTTTTTTTTTTCAGTTCTTTTTAAAATCTGGATATTATCCCTCATCTGAAGTTTAGCTAGTAAGTGTCTTCTGCCATTCTGCTGGCCATCTGTTTGCTTTGCTTATAGTTGCTTTTGCTGTGTAGGGTATTTTATTTTAATTTAGCTCCATCTGTTGATTATTGGATCTAGTCTCTGTGCTGTGGGAAATGGGCTCAGAAAGCCATGCCTAACCCTGTGTCTTAATGTAGATCCCCTCTGCTTTCCATGATTAGTTCCAGGGTTTCAGGTTTCATATAGTTAATTTTCTCACACCGGGTGAAAGATGTGGCTCAGATTCCATTCTGCACACAGATAGCCAGTTTGGGCAGCATCATTTGTTGAATAAGCTGTCTGTTTTTCTACTGCATGTTTTTGTTCCTTTGTCAAAATTCAGATGGCTGTAGCTTTGTTGGTTTATTTCTGAGTTCTCTCTTCCATTCCATTGGTGTAACTGTCTGTTTTATGCAAGTATCTGGCTGTCTTTCTCATTACATCTCTGTTGTGTGATTTGAAGTGAGGTGGTATGGCATTTCCAGGCATGTTCTTTCTCCCTAGGATGACTTTGGCTATGTATAGTCTTTGTGATTCCATATGAATTCTTGGATTACTTTTTTTCTAGTTCTATGAAGAATCACATCAGTGCTTTGATAGGAACTTCATGGAGTTTGTAGTTTCCTTTTGGTAGTATAGCCATTTTCATATATTAATCCTTCCACTACATGTGTGGGAGGGTATAAATGAGGATAAAACCTTTAAAAATAGAGAATAATCTGAGAGAGGTTAGGATAGGTAATGAGGAAGGATATGGGGTTTCAAAAGAACACATGAAACAACAAGGAAGTGTTGGGAGGAAGCTTACAATGGGGATCAGAGGTATGGAGTAAACATCTGAGGGGTTAGGAGAATCTGCTAAAACACACTTCGTTTGAAAATGTTGTGACAATATCTAGTACCTTGTAATTTGACAAGATTTAAAAATAATCACTCCTAATAAGGCAAACACATACAACAATATCAGATCCATATCAGTAGTCCTGGAGCCAAGGAAGCATGGAACAATATGTTTCAAAGGCTTAAATGTACTAACTGCAAACATAATTGCTATATACAGCAATGCTATCTTTTAAATCTCATAGAAAATAAAGACATTTAACAGAGTCACAAACTAAGCCAGTTCATCATGCTCAGGCAGCACTGGAAAAGATTATTTTTATTATATTATATTTATTTTGTATTTGCGTGTGAGCACACACAGATGTGTATATGCATATGTGTGTAAGGTTAGGGAACAACTTACAAAAGTCAGTCCTGTCCCAGGAACTCAACTCGGGTTGTCAGGCTCAGTGGAAGGTGGCTTTAACCATCCTAGCCATAAAAAGATTCTTAAAGGAATAATATAAACCAAAGAGGGAATATGTGGAATATTTAACTATGTAAAGATATGTTACATTTGTTTATGCTGCAGAGTATTACTCTTACTATGTAAAGATTGTTACACTTGTTTCTGCTGCCTTTGTTAAGAATGTAAAGATGGGTTACATTTGTTTCTGCTGCCTTTGTTAAGAATGTAAAGATGGATTACATTTGTTTCTGCTGCCTTTGTTAAGAATGTAAAGATGGGTTACAATTGTTTCTGCTGCCTTTGTTAAGAATGTAAAGATGGGTTACACTTGTTTCTGCTGCCTTTGTTAAGAATGTAAAGATGGGTTTACATTTGTTTCTGCTGCATTTGTCAATTATATAAAGATTGTTGCATTTGTTTCACCTTGTCTGCCTAAGGCACCTGACTAGTCTAATAAAAAGTTGAATGGCCAATAGCTAGGCTGGTGAGCAGAGAGAATAAGTAAGAGAAGAAATCTAGGCTTAAGAAGAGAGGAGAGAATGAGGGAGGAAAAAGAGGGAGCCGGGTAGCCACCAGAAAGACAGACATGGAAAAAGCAGGAAAAGTAGGACACACAGAAAGAAAAGGTAAAAATTCCCATGGGAAAACATAGATGAAGAGAAACAGGTTAAGTTAGAGGAGCTAGCAAGAAACAAGCTAAAAGAAAGCCAACTAGTCTTAACTAATAAGTCTTCATATCGTGATTTGGGAGCTGGTTGATTGTCCAAAAGAAAAAGCCTGCTACAGTGGAAGAAAGACATTCTCACTTGAGAGCACAGGAAAGAATAAACTTCATGCGATGAATAAAGAAATAAAATCCAGAAAGGTATCCATTATGTCCAGCGCAGCCAGCCAGCAAGCCCCTGATACTACTAAGGGTGAAAGAAAAAGAAAAAAAAATACCTAGTGTAACCAAAAAGAAGGAAAGCCAACAAAATTACAGGAGTGAGTAAACACCTCTCAAGAATAAATTTAATTGTAAATGGCTTCAGCTCACCTTTAGAGGCAGACTGGCTGACTCTATTAACAAACAAAAGTCACCTCTCTATTGTCCCTATCTAAGGCACCAACAGGCTCAGTACTCAAAGGATCACTCAACCAATCAAGTGAATGCCAGCCCAGAATAAGTTGTTGTAGTTACTATGGGATCTGACAAGGCATTCAAGCCAAGAAATGCACCTCAAAGCTGTAGTCGGGGAATCTCAAACAAAAGTGCCAAAAACACACATTAGAAAAAAGATGGTGTCTTCAACAAACAGTGTTGAGGAAGCTGGATGCCCATTAAAAAAAAAAAAAGTAAATCCATAGCTCTCACTGCACAAAATCAACTCAGAATGTATAAAAGATCTTAATGTAAATCCTGAAATAACATAGGTGAACCATTTCTTTCTTTTTTTTCTTTCTTTTTTTTTTTTTTTTTTTTTTTTTTTGATTTTTCGAGACAGGGTTTCTCTGTGTAGCTTTGGAGCCTATCCTGGCACTTGCTCTGGAGACCAGGCTGGCCTCGAACTCACAGAGATCCTCCTGCCTCTGCCTCACGAGTGCTGGGATTAAAGGTGTGCACCACCAACGCCCGGCTGGGTGAACCATTTTAAGATGTCCCTTAGGAATATGATTCCTGAAAAAGATTACAACAGCACAGAAAATACCAAAAACTAGCAAATGAGATGCAGGAAATTGAAAACCTTCCCCATATCAGAGGAGTAAAATCAGCAGAGAAAAGACAGCCTGCAGAACAGAAGAAACTCTGCCAGCTCTAGACCAAACATGATAATAATATCTGGGATAGATGAAAAACCCCTAAATAAAATACCAAGGAAAACAAATCATCAAGTTAAAAATTAGATTAGTTGTTGAAAGGAGTGGATGGGGGTTGGCTGGGGTTGGTTAAGGGGGTGTGGGAGGAGGGGTGAGAGAGAGAACTGTGGTTGGAGTGTAAGATGAAATTTAAGAAATAAATTAATTTTAAAAATAAATAAAAATTGGGCTAGTGACTGAATAGAAGTTCTCAAAAGAAGAAATACAAGCAGTCATAAGTATTTGATAAAGTGTTTGGTGTCCTTGGCCATCAGAGAAGTACAAATCAAAGTCATAATGAGATTCTATTTCATCCCAGTCAGAATGATTGTCATTTAAAAAATAGTAAATACTGGCAAGAATATGAACAAAAACAAACACACACTGTTAGTGGGAATGTAAACTGATGTCGCCACTACTTAAATAAATGTGGTGGGTCCTCAAAAGACTAAAAGTAGAAAACACACTATAATTCAACCTGGAAGTTGGATTAAATGGATGGGTTATTAAAATGTGTTACAATACAGCTATAAAAATAACAAGATATTGATGTTTGTGGGAAAATGGGTAGAACGATAGACCATTTTGTTAAAGAAAGATTAGCTAGACTCAGAAAGATAACAGCCCGCATGTTCTCTCCTATAAAAAAAATTAGCAGAATGGGACTACAAATGAGGAGGAAGAGGTGCAAAAGGAGGGGAAGGCGTGTGATGGACTGTATGTGACATGAAAGGACTATTCAAAGGAAGGGAGGATCAAATAGTCGTGGAAAAGAGGAAAGAAGGGAGGCCAGCAGTAGAGGAATGACAACAAAGTAGGCAGATATGTGTGTGAAAATGTCACAATGAAACCCATTATTTGAATGCTGAGAGAAACTAAAGTGATAATATGTATCTCAAAGGGGACAAAAAGTTATACTGAGTTAACCAAATACATATAATGTACTGATATTTTCTTCCACTGCTGAGTCTTTGCTGGTCTAAGAGGCATGAGAACTCAGACACTGGCATGGGAGGTGGTAGAATAACACAACAGAGATCAGGAAGAAAAGAAACATGAGAGAGAAAGTGAGAGTCATCAACACAGAGCGGGCATGGCCCCAACTCCCAGATACTGCATGTGAATGGACTTATCAACCATATAACCTCACCCCAGCAGGGTCATAGTAATGCAGGTAGGCCGGGTCTTCTCTTAGAATGAACTTTCTCACTTTCCAGTTTTTCCTCCTGTGCCCCTGTGTCAGGGAACAGAGAAAGGAAGGATGAGCTGCTAGTATCACGCTGCACAAACAGTGCCCCAGGTAAAACATCTGCTGAGATGCAGGATAAAAGAATGCCATGGTGAGTTACTAGGTCCTGGCCCATGTCTTTCTCAGGGAGGTAGCACCAAGGCCAATTAATGAGACAGATGTTATTGAATCACATGGATAAATTATTTCTGCACTGTCTTCCAACTTTAGAATTATGTGAACTGGCACACGTATATGACATGTTAGGCAGTGCTGGGCATATAACTTGGTCCAAGACATGGTCCTGTTTTTGTGGAGTTTATGATCCACATGGCAATAGACTATGACAAAATCCAAATAAAATACTAGATAAGAATGATGGGTTTCAAAAGAATTAAATAGGAGATATGCAATTGTAGACATGAGCTATCAAACAAAGCATAATAAAGATATCTGCTTGCTGTCTTCCTATCTCTCTGTCTCTCTCTCTGTCTCTCTCTGTGGTGTGTGTGTGTGTGTGTAGGTGCATGTGTATGTACATATGTATGTGAAAGTCAGCAGTCGACCTCAAGTGCTATTCCTCACTAGCTGTCCAACTTACTTTCTGATACAGTGTCTCTCTTTAGGATCTGGAGCTTGTCAATAAAAGTAGGATAGATGACAAACAAAGCCCCAGTGATTTGTCTGTCTTTGTCTAGAACAGTGATTACAGATGAGTGCCATGCCAGATTTTTTACATGTTCTGATGATAGAACACAGTTTCTCATTCTTACATGTATGTATGTGCACCATGTGTGTTCTTGGTGCCTCCAGGTGTCATAAGGCATTGGGTATCCTGGAATTGGAGTTAGGGATATCTGTTGGCCTCCATGTGAGTGCTGGGAGTGGAACCCCAGTTCTCTATAAGAGCAGCAAATGTTCTTAGGTGGTGAGCCATCTTCCCACCTCAGAATGACTTCTGAGATCCATCAGCCTCTACAACTATGGGCATTTCCTTTGCCTTAATAACAGTGTCCATGAGGTCTAAGCACTTAAGTTGGCTCCCAAAATTTCTTCTTTGTTGTAAGAGGTGAAAGTCATGTTGTCTTACATGACTACCAAGTTACCCTGAGCTGATGGGTCAGCCAGCCTTGAGCAGCTGCCATGTTCTCTCAAAGCCTTCTCCAACATCACAGTGTGGCTTACTGAAAAGTTTATTATAAATGTTTGATCACCTTTCTGTAAGTATTATTTACTGAGGGATTTCAAGAATGTATCCTTGCCTGAGTTTTCTAACAACCATTGTCTGAATTATCAGTTATCCATTGTATTTGATTGTGTTCATTTGACAAGCATTTATTGTTTATCACAAAGCAAAAAAGACTGTTGAATTCTGTGGCACAAACAATAAAAGCATATGTAATGCATTGTCCTTCCCCTTGCAGACTCTATATATGGTCAAGATTTAAACAGCGAAGTATTTTGTTCATTGTTATATCAGTCTGATAGCTGGAATACCAGCATGGGACTGATCCAGACCCAAGGAACATGGGTTTCTGTGAGGAAACCTCAGAAATCTATGGGACCTCCTGTAGAAGCCCAGTATTTATCCCTAGCATAGGTGTGGACTTTGGGAGCCCATTCCATATAGAGGAATACTCCCTGAGCAAAGACACACGGGGGTGGGCCTAAGCCCTATCCCAAAGGATATGATAAACTCTGATGACACCCTATGGAAGGCCTCACCATCCAGGGGAAGCAGAAAAGATATGTGACAGATAAGGTTTTAGTTGGGGGGGCGGTAGGGGAGGACGGGTGGGAGAAGGGAAATGGGATTGTCATCTAAACCAATCTTGTTTCTAATTCAAATAAAAAAAAAGTTGGAAAAAATACGCAAAAGGTATTAGACTGAATATAGTCCATTCATTCATCCTTGTACTTGTTCCATCTATCAGCTATAAGTATTTCTCTTGAGATAAAAGTGGGGAACACACTTGTCCAGTTAGACACAGCCACTTCCCACCTGTGGAGTGTGCAACACAGATATTCTTTTTCATATCACACCTACTCTACAGGTTAACTCTGGCAAACTCCCAGAAGCAATGGAAGGAAAGTTGATATTTTGAAGACCATAAAGATTTTTAAAATTTTCTCCCATGTAATTCTGATATGAACCAGAGTTATTCAGGAGCTAAAGGATTGGTGCAGGCAAGCATAAGTAAAACATATTATGACATTGGTAAAAGTAGCATTTCACTGTTTCTAGGGGAATTTTCTGCACTGCCTGCTCTAGTCATAACCCAACACTATGTTCATCATCTACTTAGCATTTTGTCTTTCACCTTCTGGGTTTCATTTTCTGGTTGATTATTGGTCAAGTAAACTAAATTCTATGTAATAATATTGGCTTTTTTTCTTTTTCATTTGTTTCTTTTGTCTTTTTGAGATAAAGTCTTGATGTTTAGTCTAGCCAGGCCTTGAGCTCACAGCAATCCCTGTGGTTAAGCTTTATGAGTGCTGGGATTACAGGTATGTACCACCATCCTCAGTTCAGACTGGTAATTTAGAAAAAGTTAGAAGGCTTGAAAAGGGAGGAGGGATAGTGTTGGACACTCACCTGCTTCAGTAAACATCCCTGCTTGATGATAACCCCTCTGAATTCTTCTTTCAGGATTACATCCTCATCACTGGAATTATCTTCACAGAAGAACCCACTGTCCGGCTGTTGGGAAAGCACACGGCAGGTTCTTACCAGTCTCAAGCATTTTTCTTTACCTATGTCCACAGCCCCCCACCCCCCCACCCCCGCCAGCCACTTTTCCTTCATGCTGCTGTGTGTACCGTGACACGAAACTTCAAGGTTACTCTGGGTTTCTTGTCTAAACCTCCTCCATTTTCCTGTTTCTTTTGTGTCTCAATTCAAGTGTGATCTTGTCAATCGCCTTTCATTTTCTATGCTGCTCCAGGCTATATCCTAAATCTATCTCAGTCTTCTTTTACCAGGCACATTTCTCATTTCAAAGTCTTCCTTCTCATGGGACTTGATGGTCACATGTTTGCAATCATAATGACAACACCCTGATGCAACACTCTCCACCGTGCCTTGCCCCTTGTCCCTTGTCCCTTGGCTCCATCTCTAGCATCATCTCAGGCCCTGAGGTCAGGAGGATTGGAGATTTTCTGACCTAAAAAAGAGCAACAAGCCACACAAAGGAGTTGCTGTGGGAAGTTAATTTAGCACCCTTAATTTAAATGGCTATAAAATGATAGACCAAGGGTCTAAAACATGAAAAAGTACTGAGAGTGGAACTCCCCAAAAAGTGAAATGAAACACTATCTGGAATGTTCACCTCATTTGTGTAAGAAAGATGGTTCTTTCTGTAGCTTTCCTAACTTCTACATTCTGTTCTAAAATAGAAACAAAATTGTCAAAAATCCCCCAAGAAATCCACAGTTGCTAAAATTATGATGTGACCACAAGTTAGGCTCAAGTTACATAATATACAGTTTAGCAATCTCAGGAGACATAACATAAGAAGCATGCAAGGTTATGGGAGGAAGTGCATACAGAAGAATGGTGCACATTGTTTTATTGTATATTTGAACACAGAGAGACAGCTCATCACATTTGTGATTTCATGGGCAGCCCCCGGAAAGGACATCATACCAGGACTGACACTGTTGCCTTTCCACTGATGTGTTCCCTTTGTCTAGGACAACATGTCCATGCAGAGGTACACAATACATGTTTATAAAAGAATTGATTGTTTAGAATAAGACTAAAGGTAGTAAGATCTCAATAGTGCATTTAGAGAAAACACTAAAGTAAAGTAAACTTAGTCAAGTAAACTTAAACTGTTTAATCACTTGGAGAAGGTAGCATTTGAGGGAGCAGCTACTAAGTCCACAAAGTGCTGGTGTAATAGAAGCTTTATGGGCCTGTGCTTTCGGAGCTTGTAGTACTTGTCTTTAAAGTGTGTGTGTGTGTGTGTGTGTGTGTGTGTGTGTGTGTTTGAAGATGTATGAGCATGTACATGCTATCAAGGGGTATGGAGGTCAAAAGACAACTTGCAGAACTTGGCTCATGTAAGTTCTCAGGATTGAACTCAGGTCGTCATCAGGCCTGGCAGCAAGCACCTGTATCCAGTGAGCCATCTCAACAGCTTGTGATGAACTATTTGTCTCTGGTTGGCTTCTTCTCCGCCCTTCTCTACCATCAATTCTCCTTAGGACCAGATATCCTGTTTGCATATGTGGCTATAAACTGATGTCAACAGAAAATCTACCTTGATCTTATGACATGAAAATCAAGCAGGTAGTTCTTCATACTTACAAAGAAGTAGAAAGCATCAGGGTTGTCCAGAAAAAGGTTTTCAGCTATCCCATCTGCTGCATTCTTAGACAGATCCCCAGCAGGCTGCAGGTACCCTTCGCTGAGCAGTGATGCAGAGATCATAAGACCTTCCTGGCGATTCCGAACTGACTTATTAGAAACCAGCCAGTCTATGACACTGCTACCTGGATGAGAATATCAGAGAGAAAGTTAACTCTTTCCCAAACCACAAGCCATGCCACTGACTGCCAACCAGACACTGGCTCCAATGTTTACAAGTGTTCATCTCATCTCTGCTGCCCTGCTATTCCATGAATGAAAAAGAGAATTAGTGAGACAGATCCTTGGAAACAAAGGGAGTCATGCAAAAGTCAAAGTACACACACACACACACACACACACACACACACACACACACACTTATACACACACTCACATGCTACTTTTAAAAGAAATACATAACTTGCTCATTTATTGAGCTTTTACAAGACCCTACATAGACAATGGGCAGGTTTCATACTGAAAGCATAAGCATTAAAGTTACAGAATTCTGCTGTAAATCATCAGAAAAGGATTTATAGAGAAAGTAACTGGCTGAGAAATAAAATATAAGGTGTCTGCAAGCATTTGATATAGGAGCTCAGGGTCCAGCATAGGCAAGGGTGCAGCAATGTGGACATACTTACAAGCACTTGCAGCCCATGAGAACAGAGATGGAGCTGGTGAGAAGTCAAGAGGGGTCAGGAGGAGGAGGAAGATGCGGTGGCACATTAAGAAATCTGTCAATTGGTACATGGTCCCCCAGAGAAAGAGAAAGGGACAAGAGCTCCTGAGCAAATTGTGAGTAGGCGGGGAAGGGGGGAGGGAGTTAGAAGAAAGAGAAGGGGAGAAGAGGAGGGAGAGGAGGACATGAGGGAGCAGGAAGATTGAGTTGGGGGAAGAACAGAAGAAAACAAGAAAGGAGATACCATAATAGAGGGAGACATTTTAGGTTTACAGAGAAACCAGGCACTAGGGAAAGGTCTGGAGATCTACAAAGATGACACCAACTAACAATCTAAGCAACAGAGGAGAGGCTACCTTAAATGCCCTTCCCCTATAATGAGATTGATGACTACCTTTTATGCCATCCTAGAGCCTTCATCCAGTAGCTGATGGAAGCAGAAGCAGAGACCCACAGCTAAGCACTGAGCCGAACTCCTGGAATCCAGTTACAGAAAGGGAGGAGTGATGAGTGAAGGAGTCAAGACCAGGCTGGGGAAACCCACAGAAACAACTGACCTGAACAAGGGGGAGCTCATGGGCTCCAGAATGATAGCTGGGAAACCAGCATGGGACAGAACCAGGCCCCCTGAACATGGGTGTCAGTTAGGAGGCCTGGGCAGACTATAGGGCCTCTGGTAGTGGAACAGTATTTATCCCTAGTGAGCGAATGGACTTTGGGAGCCCATTCCCCATAGAGGGATGCTCTCTCAGCCTTGACACACAGGGGAGGTCCTAGTCCCTTTCCCAAATGATGTCATAGATTTTGAAGATTCCCCCATGGAATCTGCTCCCCTGGGGAGCAGAAGAAAGATAGAATGGAGGGTTTGTGGGGAGTATGGGAGGGAGAAGGAACTGGGATTGACATGTAAAATAAGATTGTTTCTAATCTAAATAAAAAAAGAAATCTGTCAATCTGAGAAGGAGTGGATGGAGAGGAGAGTAGATGGGAAGCAGGGCAGGGTGGGAAGAATGAGAGGAGAAGAGGGAAGGGCTAAATGAAAAAATGTTATCCAAATAAAAGAAAAAAAGAAATCTGTTAATAGCCAGGCATGGTGGCCTTTAATTCCAGCACTTGGGAGGCAGAGACAGACTGATCACTGTGAGTTTGAGGCCAGCATGGTCTACAGAGCAAGCTCCAGGACATCTAGGGCTGTTACAGAGAAATGAGAGAGAGAGAGAGAGAGAGAGAGAGAGACAGAGACAGAGACAGAGACAGAGACAGAGACAGAGACAGATCTATCAATGAAGAAACACTTGAAATTTTTAATTATCAAATAGCATAATGGGATGTGTGTCCTAAATTAAAATTTGATTACATTACTTATGTTTATATTGTTGTGCATTTTAAAGAGTCTGGCAAGCACCCTGAATAGTCATTTTATTTCACTTTTACTCAAGAGAAAAAAACACAGGGAATGAAATGAAGAAACCCTGTCAGTTGAGTTACTAGCAAGCTAAAAATGAAGGTTTGTATTCATACAGTGTGTTCTTTATGAGTTCAGCCAGTGGCTTTAGGAGACTTACCCCCAACTGAAGTGAAGGATTTCTTGGCTGCCACTGCATAATAATGATGTGCCTGAGCAATCCAGATCTCGCACAATCTATCTACTTACACATGTTTAAAGTGTATTTTGTTTGTGCAGACTTATTTCTACATGATTTAATGGATTCACCTTTTTAAAATAGTAATCATAATAAACTGTTAAAACCAAAAAAAAAAAGAAGAAAGAAAGAAAGAAAGAAAGAAAGAAAGAAAGAAAGAAGAAAGAAAGAAAGAAAATGGTTCAGCCAATGACAACCAACTTAGAACCGGCTAGCCCTGGGTCACTGGAGATGGAGCAGTGGGTCTGGGATACCTGAAAGAGCCATAGCCCCTTTCAGAGAATAAGCACTACACAAGTTTCAGACATGAAGACTTTCTCTGCAAAGAAAACATTTCTGCTTTCAGTCCTCACAACACTACAAAAGAGTTGGCAGCTACTTACCCCATTTGAAAAGTAAGAAACTTAAGACTCATACAGTTTCAATAACCTTGGGCCTCAGGTGTATCTGTCCTGAACCTTCATTGTGTATGCTCTCATGCTTGAGTCTGTGCTTCTTGCCTAGCTGTGCTGAAATCTGAAAGACCTCACTCGGGTTGCTCTGTCCTGTGATAGTCAAGGTAACCCATTACATGTGAACACTGACTGCTTCCTAGTCTCCACCTCTCAGCCGACACCACCTGACTCTCATGACAACTCCACTCATGGAGAGTTCTAGAATCCATTATGCCAGTCCATGGGAAGGACTTGAGTGTTGGTGAATGCTCTTGGAGTTGGGGATGCATTCAACAGAAAATAAGCCTGGGCCTGGGGGCCTAATCTCTGTAGGAACTTATTATTCCTTTGACCTGGGGCTGTCTCGTAGTGACCCTAGCCACACATCCTTTGTGTCCTGCCTTGCTTTTATTGCTTCCCTTGGGATCTTGATGGCGAAGCTTGGTCCTGACTTGATGCCTGCATTCTCTGAAACACATTCCTGTGAGATACTGCCTCACGGTGCAAATCACATTCTTTCTCCGTCCCCTTCCTGACTCTGACCTAAGCCATTTTCATGGATTTTCTGTGGACCTAAAATCTTCTCAGATGCTCACACTGTTATAATTCCTCCAGATTGTATCCCTATGGCAACCTGAAAACATGTTTACTATGCTGAGTGCCTGACACACTTACTCCCAAACTAACTTCCCATTTTGCTGTCTATAATGAGCCATCTTCCAGGTCATCACTTCATTTTTCCAGATGCATGTTCTGCACATTTCCACCCATAACTCATCAAAAATCTTCCCCACAAACCCCCTCTACTTTGAGGTCCAACTGAGGCACTGCCTCCTAATCACCTCAGTAGCTCACTTAGTTCTTTCTCTTTCCTGAATTCATGGAGCTGCTACATAGACATAACCTCTTTCATCATAATAACTGCTTGAAAACTTGGAACTCAAAGTGCTTAGCGTGTGTCAGGAACTGTTCTACTACACAACAACAAGTCTGAGAAATATGTGCACTGCAATTTCCCATTATATAGACAGTAAAGCACAGAGACAGTTATTGACCCAAAGTTTTGTGACTGGTAAGTTGCAGCTCCAGAGTTTGAAGCCAGGCAACACGTGTTCCAGTGAATGTGCTTTCACACTGCTTACACTGGTGACACCTATTCCCTTCCTGTGAATAGTGTCTGACACTCCCAACATTATTGTTTAAATTCTATGCTACATATCTTAATTCTTGTTTGCCATAACTCATCAGCATATAAAGATGTTCCTATTCCTAATGCTTTTTCAATATAATGCCAAATATTGGAGAAAGGGGCTGCTTGATTGGTATAGTTGTGATTTCTGAAGCCTTATCTTGAACAAAAACAGTCTTTTTCTACCCCGGTTTCTGTTTCCACACAGACAGAATTCTAATCTCTTGTTTGCTGGTCTGCATTCCACAATCCTGTGCACCCACTATGCACCACACTGCACTGCATGCAGATAGCTATGTGGGACACCACTTTCCCTCCCCAGCTGTCCACTTTGGGAGTTCACGTCATTTTACCTGTGAAGCAGTGATTAAAAACCTTCTTGTCCTTCTCCAGATTCAGCTCCTTTATTCCTTTTTCAGGGTCTTTCATGGACAGATACAAAGCCCTGTACAAAGACAAAAGTGGGGTGACTAAGGAACGTTTGGAATGGTGAACCACCTTAGAGAGCCCTCCGGTAGCTAAGCTTTCCCACTCCTTGGAGTAGTCCTAAACCTAATCTCTCTGCCAGACCAGCAGTAATTAAAGGGCAGTGATCCAACTTGTACAATCACGTGGCCTACAAAGCATTTAGCAGATACACTTAATATCTCTTAAATTCAATAATCACTTTGTTGATTTAATCCTGGTGCTTAAGATGGAGAGTTGCCCCACTATGTGCCAAAGCTTAAGAGTTCCCTGGGCTGAGAAACTAGTAAACAAGGAGGACCCTAAAAGAGACAAACATTGTCCCCTGGAGAAAGAGAAAGGGTCACTATCCCCTGAGCAAATTGAGAGCATGGGAAGAGGGGAGAGGGAGCTACAAGAATGAGAAGGGAAGAAGAGGAAGGATGCAGAGGTCATGAGGGAGCAGAAAGGCTGAGTCAGATGAAGAATAGAAGAAAGGGTATGTGATAGGTAGGGTTTTAGTTAGAGGGGGTGGTAGGGGAGGACAGGAGGGAGAAGGGAACTGGGATTGTCATGTAAATCAATCTTGTTTCTAATTCAAATAAAAGATTAATAATAATAAAAAAGTTCCCTGGGCCAATTTTGCAGGAACAACAATTTTTAAAGTCTCTACAATAGTTTGGATCTGGCATGTCCTGCAAATATCTGTGCCTTAAAGGCTTGTGACCCAGATTGGGGTTGTTCAGAGGTGGCTGAAGCTTCAAGGAATGTGGCCAAGAAGGCAGTGGCTCTTTTAGAAAAGTGCCTGCCAGGGAAACATGAGGACCTGAGTTCGGATCCCTAGCACCCACAGAAAAAGCAGGACACAGTAGCTTGCAATCCCAGCACTGTAGTGGGGGGAGACAGGAGGATCCATCCCTGCAGCAGGCTAGTCAGCTAATCTCACCCAGTCAGTGAGCTGCAGGTTCAATGAGAAACTTTGTCTCAAAAAGTAAGGTAGAAAGCAATTGAGAAAGATATCTGAAATCAGCCTCCAGCCTCCATATGTGCCTGCATACACATGCATACGGACCC